ATAGAAATTGAATAGTCATGAGTTTACAAAAAGGTACAAAAGATTGCAAAAGGAGTATGATGAGAAACATTGTGAGACCTTTCAAGTTCAAGGGCAGCTAATAGAACAGAGCAGCTAATTACTGATTGCGGGCCATCTTGCATCGATCAGGATTGGTCGGGTCGATGAAGTACTCGTGATTGAGGAGGTTGAAGAGAATTGCAAAGGCCATGCCCAGACCGTAGATAACGAGGAAGACCCAGCCGATGATGATCTCCCACCGACGCATCTTCAAGTTTCGCAGCGTGTTCACGCCAATGAGGAAGCCAACCAGAGCGCCGAAAAAGTGAGCTGTTGAAGTATAGAAATGGTGAGTAAATCAATTCCCCTCTCACACCTTAACTTGCTCTGCTTACCCGAATAACTAACTCGAGATGACTCCTCCTTTACATATCGTCCGTAGATTGCCACGCCGACATCAGTGGAGATGAACGCCAGGAGGGAAATCAATCGAAGCCAGCTGAACTCCATCTCACTCCAGTTCTGAAAAGTAAAGTTTTTATATAAACAAATCTCGCCTCAAAACCTTATTGTCTACTTACAATGACGACACTGGCCAGGTGAGCTGCCAACAGGGCGTACACCCCTCCACTGGCACCGGCCAGGAAGCTGTACGGGTCGGTAATGGAGGAGGCGAGTGAGCCGGCGACAACGCCGGCAATGTAGACGATGCCGACGCGCCACCACTTGTGCACCATCTCCAGCGGAACACCGAGCAGCAGCTGAATGAGAACATTGAAGAAGACGTGATAGAAGCCAGCGTGAATGAAGATGTACGTCCCAAAGCGCCAGATCTGATCACGTCGGCAGGGATTGTAGATGAGGGAGCTCTGCCAGGGCACGGGCCCGATGGCGGAGACCTCCTTGAGGACGACGCAGTAGTAGATGAAGAAGGCAATCTCGATGATGCTGATGATGATGATGAAGACGGGCGGTGGCAAGCAATTGTACTCCTCCAGGTACCGGCGGATGACTGACTGACGGGCAGACTTGGGCACAACGGCCATCGCCGCGTAGCGGATAAGGCGATGCAGCCGTGGCCTCTCCATACCCAGTTCGGTGGTTTGGACCTGTTGACAGTTTAGAGAAGGTTAGATAAAGGCACTACAGTTTACCGAAAAAAGTTGTACCAGCTGAAGAAACTCGTCATAAGTAATGACGCCGTCTTTGAGGATGTCTGCATTGTGGATCAGCTTGTCCAGCAGCTCAGGAGAGATGTCCTCACTCAGATGACTGTTGCTCTCCTGGAGAATGCGCTTAAACTCCTGGATGCTAATGTGCCCGGTCTTGTGCGGATCGTAGCGGTCGAAGACGGGTTTCCAGACCTGTAACAGAAGTATCAACAGTTATTCGAGAGTGAGTCAACAAGTAACCAAAAGGGCTCCCCTCTTACCCGATCCATCTCCAGTTCGGTCCTCTCCGAACTGGCCGCATTGTGGCCATAGTTGTAATTCTTCTTGGACATCTTCGCTTTGCTTCAGATCGCCGTTTGAAGGGTGCAATTAAGGTATTTGTAATTACTACTACTATTACTAAAAGTGAGTGAAAACGCAGTGGACCAGCAAATGAGGCGACGGAGGTGCAAATCAGATATCACACATTTATAGCGGCAGTGACTTCTTTTTGTTGCAGCAGCAATGATCAACAGCTTTGGCTGGCATTGACAACGGCGAGGAGGCACAGGAGGTGGTGTGGTAAGCGTGTGTTTGTGTATCGGCTGCTGCTGCAGCGGCTTCCAACGTGAGTTGCAAGAAGTGCTCCAGCAGCAATATCTGCTGATAAGAATGTGCTGCTGCTAATGCTGGCAGGGAAAGCACGACAAACAAATGAAGGCACAACGTTTTGAGCTCTGCTGCTGCTGACACTTTCCCTAGCCAGCTGACGAGTGCGATAAAGAGAGAGAGAGAGAGAGAAGAGAAGGAGCAACAAATCAGCGACGGTGTGTCCTGCGGCAGAATGCTCTGCGGCTGCTGCCGAGATCGCTTTGTCACACTTCTCTGCGCTCCGCTGACATTCGCGGCATCGCGGCGACTGTCGCCGCTTTTCTTGTGTCATCGTCTAGGTTACGATGAGCTGATATTGCACGCACTGGTGCGAGTGGAATCTGCAATGCTGGTGCTCCCAATTAGTATCTGCGCACATCAACCCGCAGCTGACCAGTGTCAGTACCAGTACAAACGCACTAGAATCGGGGTCGCTCTTCACTATGAGCCTTTGCTACTTTCTCCTTTTTTATGTCAATTAGAAGTTTGCTCTACAACAATGGTGGTTACCTAAAAGCGAGTGCCATAAAAGCGAGTGCGATCATTGCTCTGGCATAATCAGTTTTTATGGGGTTTTGAAAAAAGTTGCTAAGTAGTCACGCCTTGTGTGAAAGGGAGCTGTCGGCAACTCTTCCGTGTGTTGTTGTTGTTGCGTCGTCGGCTTAGTCATCATCTGACGACTGTCACTGCGCCAGTCTTCTTCCTTATCACCCGCAGTATCCTCGCACTCTCGACCAGCCCATCTAATCGTCTGCTCTGAGTGGCCATTTNTTCCGTGTGTTGTTGTTGTTGCGTCGTCGGCTTAGTCATCATCTGACGACTGTCACTGCGCCAGTCTTCTTCCTTATCACCCGCAGTATCCTCGCACTCTCGACCAGCCCATCTAATCGTCTGCTCTGAGTGGCCATTTCTTAAAGAAGTCTCAAGAAGAGCAGGAGTACCTCCAGGCTTCTCAAGATGTTCAAGAGTTCGTCTACCTTCGACAAGCAGCTGGGTACGTCACCTCCTCCCTTGTTGTTTCTAAGTTCACCTTTGTTTATCTGATTCATCTTTTATTCATGACTAATGTCGTCTATTGCGTGCTGGTTTTTTGTTTGTACAGACAAAGCAACCAGCCTGAGTAACCTCGAACCTGATTGGGCGAGCATTCTACAGCTATGCGACTCTATCCGGATGAACGATGTCCAGTGAGTTGTCCTTTATACACACAGTTTGGGGATTACATGTTTGTGTACGCAGTTAGCTGCAATCTATTTACTGTATATTTTCCCCTTTACAGGCCTAAATATGCGCTGTCCGCAATTAGGAAGAAGCTCTTCGCCACTAATCCCAATGTGGTGTTGATGGGCCTTCGGGTATGTGCTGTGGTAGTGCGTCGTTGTTGTACAGCTCTTTTCTAATTAGTCACTCTTTGTGGGCAGGTCTTGGAGTCCTGTGTAAAGAACTGCGGCTCCCTCTTCCACAATGAAGTCGCTACTCGTCAGTTTATGGACGACTTGGAAGAGGTGATCAAGCAGTCAAATGATGTGAATGTGCGCGACGAAACTCTTCGAATTATCCAAGTTATGGCTTACGCTTTTCGTAACGACCCGGGCTACCGCGCCGTGGGCGACAAAATGAAGTACCTCAAACACGGTGGCTACCAGTTTCCAGTGCTAAAGGAAAGCGACGCCATGTTCTCCGCTGACTCTGCTCCCGATTGGGCTGACGGTGAGGTGTGTCACCGTTGCCGCGTTCAGTTCGCATTTCTCGTCCGCAAACACCACTGTCGCAATTGTGGCCAAGTCTTCTGTGCCACTTGCTCTGCAAAGACGTCCACCATTCCCCGATTCGGCATCGAGAGGGAAGTTCGTGTCTGTGATGTTTGCTACGATAAGATCAACAGCAAACCTTCGAAATCTGAAAGCGGCAAGTCGCACCTTGGCGAGGAGACAAAAGCAAAGATAATGGCCGCCGCCACTTCTTCAGCGGCTAATGCTTCCGCCGCCGCCGCTGCAGCCGCTGCGCAAAAGAAAACCGAGCAGGAGATTCAAGAGGAGGAGGAACTTCAGCTGGCCCTTGCTCTCTCGCAAAGTGAAGCCGAGGAGAAGGCGAAGGAGCGCTCATCGGGTAGTTTCAAGTACCCCTCTGCTTATGGGCAAAATTCAACTAACGCCAAAAGCAGTGGTGGTGGTGGATCAACTACTCCTTCGGGCAGCAAGCATAAAAAGTCGAGCTCAAAGAGTAGCTCGAAAATGTCCTCCAAGTCGTCCAGCAAAAAGTCGTCTCCTAAGTCTGAAGCGACCATTGAGAACGACGATCCCGAGATGGCTCGCTACCTGAACCGCGAGTACTGGGAAAATCGCACTACTGCGTACCCTGACTACGAGCCGTCACCCTCGCCCAGTGCTCCCCAGTCGAACAACCTGACGACGACCATCACTCCGGTCGTCACCACCAAATCGCCCACTGTCGACGTTGCTGAACCAAAACTGTTCAAAGAGAAGCTGATCAGCTCACCGACTGAGGACACAGAGCTGGAGTCGTTCACCAACTCGCTGCGATCGACTATTGAAATTTTCGTCAATCGCCTCAACTCAAACAAGCTGCGCGGTCGATCCATTGCCAGTGACAATGGCGTGCAGGCGCTCTTCATGAACCTGACCAATCTGCACTCTCAGCTGATTATGCACACTCAGCAAACTAATGAGTCGCGAACCAACTGCGAGCGTCTGCAGGACAAGATCAGCCAGATCAGAGATGCTCGTGCTGCGCTGGACGCCCTGCGCGAGGAGCACCGCGAGCAGATGCGCCGTGCTGCCGAAGAAGCCGAACGAATCCGCCAGCAGCAGATGGCTCAGAAGCTGGAGATTATGCGCAAGAAGAAGCAAGAGTACCTGCAGTACCAGCGGGAGATTGCCCTTCAGCGGATGCACGATCAGGAGCGGGAGTTTATCATGCGCCAGGAGCAGATGAAGTTTGCCAGCGCCAATGCCGGCGCTGTCCCGCCCTCCCAGTGGAACAATGGCGGCAGTATTCCCGCCAGTGGCTACTACATATCCAATGCTGCCTACGCCATGCCTACTCAACAGCAGCAACAACAGCCGCCGCCGCTTCCTCAGGCGGCCATGGCTCCTGGTGGACAGTACGTGCAGTCGAACTTGCCACACGGTTCGGGCATGGTCAACGCCCATCACGCTCCCATGCCCAGCTCTACGGTGCCGATGGCTGTGCCGCCGCAGCCCGGCCAGCAGCAGCCTCAGCCACTGCCACCACAGCAACAGGTAATGCAACAACCGCCACCGCCGCAACAGCCGCAGCAGCAGCAGTACATTCCAGCAATGTACATGCCCCAGGGGGCTCCAGTGGCGGGCAACTACCAGGCTGAACCAGTGCCGCAGCAACTACCTCCAGGCGTTCAGCAGCAGCAGCAGCCACCGGTCCAGTACACAATGGCTCAACCAGTGGCCTCTGTGGCTCCGCCGCAAATGGCGCAGCCGCCTCCTGCGCCTCAGCCACCAGCACAGCCTGAAGCCACTGAGGAGCTTCTCATTAATTTTGATTAGGTTTTAGTACCTTTTGACCAGTTGACGGTACACCGCCACTAGCAGCAGCAGCAATCTGAACTGTACTAATCTGTACTCCCAATTCGACACGATCGCGTACGCGTTTGCTTTATCTTACACGATTTATTCTTATTAAAGTACGTAATAATAACATATGTAGAAGGGGGATACTAGTCTAGTAGTGTGAGTGAGAATTAATTGAGTAGAGGGGAAGGGTGTCTGCTTGTGAATTGATATGATTATTGGAAGGTTTTACTTGAGATTATCTATGTGAGATAGGGTATGCTTTGTTTATTACTATATTCTTATGTTTAGAGTTTGCCGTTGAGGAGGGTGGCCACCTGCTCGACGTTGTTCAGGATGAAGGACTTGTGGTTGCCCGGCAGAATGTGCAGATCGCATTTGCCCGTGACCAGCTGTAAAGAAGAAGAAGAAGAAAAATTTGATTAGAAATCAGTATGATAACTGTAGTGCAGTATTAAAAACAAACCTCTGAGACGTTGTAGTCCTCCTTGAGGTGCGTTCCACTCTTGATGATCATCTCCTCGGCGCGGATGAGGGCAATGTCGCCCTGGAACTTCTTGCTCACCCGGTACTGGTGCATCATCAGGCACTTGGCGATGAAGGCATCGGCGGCGGTGGCGATCTCCTCCGGTTTCGCCTCGATGCCGAACTTGACCAGCACCTGGGCGGCCTTCTCCAGCCGCTCCTCCTTGCTCTTCAGCGCCAGCAGCTCCTCCTTCAGCTGCTTGTAGTTGACGGGCGCCACCTGGATGAGGAAGGTGATCAGCGCCTCCACGAACTTGCTCTCCGGGTTGTCGGCGGACACCAGCTGGCGGTACTGCTCCGTGGAGACCGCCAGGTGGGTGGGCGAGGCGTCGAGGAAGATCAGGTTCACCTGGTTGCCCTTGGCCAGCTGCAGCTGCACGGCCATGTCGAAGGAGAGCAGCGAGCCGAAGGAGTAGCCCACCAGGTCGAAGGTGCTCTCCTTCGGCGGGGAGAGGCTCTTCATGAGGGCGATGAAGTGCTGGCTGGCCTCCTCCACGCCGCTGAAGGCGTTGAAGGCGGCCGTCCAGTTGAGGCCAATGGCAGGTCGCTTCAGGTGCTTGGCCACCACCTCGAGCAGGGCGAAGGAGCCCTCGATGGGCGGCAGGAAGAAGACCGGGCGGCCGGCCTCCTTGGGCACGTCGTTCAGCAGGGTGAAGCTCTCAGTGGGCAGGGCGATGCTGAGAGTGGAGAGGCCGTCCAGTTTGCCGGCACCTCCATTTTCTGAGCCGCTCTTGGCACCGCCAGCAGCCGCAGCGCCTCCCTCCTGTCCGCCGATCTCAATGAGGTTGCCAACGGTCAGCGATCGCAGCTCCTGCATGGAGAGGATCACCTCGTAGTCTCGCTCCAGCGTCTGCTTCACCTCGACGCCCATCAGCGAGTCCATGCCCAGCTCGGAGAGGGAGCTGGTGGGCGCCAGACCGGCGTAGTCCTTGATGCCCAGGATGTTGGCGATCGACTTCAGCAGGTCTTGCTTGTTCCCGGATCCGCCCTCTGTCTGGCGTTTGGCGCGCACCAGCGAGCAGCACACCGGCTCGGCGGACTGGAGGAAGCGGTCGAGGACGGAGAGGCAGGAGGGAATTCGCTGGGGCAGCGTCCCGCCGATGACCACATCATTGCCGCCCATGTTCTCCGAGACGACGCCCACGTCGCCGATGGCGCCCCACTGAATGGCCAGGCCGTGTAGACCGGCCGCCCGTCGCAGCTCACACACCCGCTCCATTGAGCTGTTGGCGAAGCCGTAGTTGCTCTGGCCGGCATTGCCGCGACCGCAGCTCACCGAGCTGAAGGCCACAAAGTAGTCCAGCTGGGGGCACAGTCGCCGACTGACAGTGTCCAGGTTCTGGTTGCCGAGCACCTTCATGGCGGCCACCTTCTCGAAGGACTCTGCCGTCTGATTTTCGATGAATCCGTCGCTGAGCACCATGGCCAGGTTGAAGATGCCGCCCACCGGGCCGAGGCTGGCCGCCTCCTTTAGCAGCTCAGTGGCGCCGGCCACCGTGGAGATGTCCGCCGTAGAGATGAGGTGTTGCACGCCGGCCGTCTGCAGTCGCTGCACCACCAGGCGCTGGTAGGCGTCACGGGGACCGCTGCGAGAGGTGAGCACCAGCTGTCGGGCGCCACGCTCCACCAGCCAGGCGGCCAGCTCCAGACCGAAGCCGCCCAGACCGCCGGTGACGATGTACGTCTTGAGGGGGTGGAGGACGGTGCGCGGAATGGCGGCCACCAGTCGTCGGCTGGGCACGACCACCTTCTGGCCCTGCTCCTCGTCCCTGATCTTCAGCACCACCTTGCCGATGTGCTTTCCGGTGGCCATGAAGCGGAACGCCTCCTCGCAGTGGTCCATGTCGAAGATGGTGCTGCGCAGCGGTCGCACCGCTCCCGACTTGATGCCGTCCTTCACCAGCTGGGCGACGCGCTTCTTGTGCGTGGCAATGTTTGAGGAGTTCACCGCCGGGCCGAAGAGGGCGTCAAGGAGGATGCCGTGGAAGGCGATGTTCTTGAGGAAAGCGGCCATGCCGAGCGGGTTGTTCTGCGACAGGTCGTACTTGCCGATCTCGAGGAAGCGGCCGTGCTGCGCCAGACAGCGCACACTCGCCTGCAACTTCTCCTCGCTGAGCGAGTTGAGGATGACGTCCACGCCGCGGCCGTTGGTCTGTCGGAGGACGTGCTGCTCGAAGCTGGTGTCGCGGGAGTTGGCGAAGTTGCGGTCGGTGAGAGCGGGGAAGGCCTTCTTCAGGTAGGCCTTCTTCTCCTCGCTGCCCACTGTGGTGAAGACGGTGCAGCCCATGCTGAGGGCGATGCTGATGGCCGCCTGGCCGACGCCGCCGCTGCCCGAGTGAATCAGCACCGACTCGCCCTTCTCCAGCTCGCCGCGCACCACCAGCGCGTAGTAGGCGGTGGAGTAGCAGACGGGCACGGTGGAGGCCTCCTCCATGCTCCACGCCTCCGGAATCGGCCAGAGGAACTCGGGGTCGTCGACGAGGACGGTCGTGGCGAGGCCCTTTGCCGCCACCATGCCCATCACTCGCTGGCCGTTCGGGTGTCGGCCGGCGAACTCCAGGCCGAGAATGCAGTCCTGGAGGGCGAGGTCGCCGGGCAGTGCGTCCGGGGGCAGCTTTCCGGTGGCCAGCATGATGTCGCGGAAGTTGAGCGGTGCGTAGTACACCGTGGCGAGCACTTCCTCGGGGTTCTTCTGGTGTTTGGGCAGCTCGGTCCAGTACTTGTGCTGCGACTCGTACCACCGCAGCGAGGTCAGGTCGCCTCGGGTGGCCACGTTGAGGTAGGCGTGCTCCGTCTCCACCTGGTTCTGCTCGTCGATGTCGTAGTGGCGGAATGAGCCCAGCTGGCCGTTACGTAAAACGTTCAGCGTCAGGTCGGCGGCGAGCATCTGCTTGTAGATGGGCTCCTCAAAGCTGAATGGAGTCGGCAGGGAGGAGGCGCTGTCAGAGGAGCTGTTGAGGACGGCACGAACGCGGTCGCCGCCTGCCTCCTGGCGAAGGCACTTCACCAGACCGACGACGCCGTTGGCAGGGTGGTCAGTGGCCACCAGCCACAGGTTCTCGCCCACCGGTCGCTTCGAGTGCTCCACCAGCTTCTCCTTGAGCAGCTCCACCCACTTCGAGTAGTTGGTGTTGGTCACCGAGATGACCGACTGAGCGGCGGCCACCGGGGTGGTCTCAAACTTGCGGAAGAGCATCACCGTGGTGGTGTTCAACTGATCGGTGCGCTCCGAGACCAGGCGGAGGGCGCCGGTCTTGGCCGCCTTCTCCTTGAACTCCTTCAGGGCGGCCTCGTTCAGCTTGACGCCGGCAACGGAGTGCAGCAGCTTCTCGGCGGGCGTGGCCGTGCGGAAGATGGCCGCAAGGAAGCCGCCGTTCTTCAGTGCTCCCTTCGCCGACTGCAACAGTGCAGTGTAGTCGGTCACCACGTTCTCCGCCACCTTGAAGACGGCGCTGTCCTTGAGCACCAGCAGGTCGGCGGTGTTCTCGCCGAGGGGCAGCTTGCCCCCCTCCTTGGCCGCCTCCCAGCGGACCACAGTGCCGCCGTTGTTGACCGCCTCGACGGTGTCGTTGAGCAGAGTGTAGGCGAGGTTGATAGAGTAGCCAGAGGAGTCGACATACTCCTTCAGCTTGTCGGCCAGCACACGACCGGTCGGGTTGACCTCCACCAGGGTCAGCTTGGAGCTGGGCAGGTTCTCGATGACAACGTCGAGGGCGTTGCGCAGCAGGTACTGCCACTCGTGCACGCTGGAGAGGAGGTCCTCGTTGAGGGCGTCGCCGTTCTTGGCCAGCACCGCCGACAGCTGTTTTCCTCGGGCGGCAATCATCTCCTTGAGGAGGCGCACCAACTGGTGCTGCTGTTCATTCGAGTCCAGGTACTGCGCCAGGAGGGCGTCACTGGGCGTCGGTGGTGCCGTCTTGAAGAGGCTCTTCAGATCAGCGGCGCCAGAGAGGACGGCCACCTTGTGGGCAAGGGCGGTGGTCACTTCGACGTACTCGCACACCTGCTTTGCCAGCTTAGGCGTGAGCACCCCCTCGGCGTCCTGGTACGGACTGAAGACGTACTTCTCCAGGGCGGGAATCTGGGCGCCCTGTCGTCGCGGGGCAAGGTTCACCTTCAGCCCCTGGATCTCCAGGCCGGGCACGACGGTGGCGTTGATGCGCGGGTCGGTGACCACGTCGAGCAGCGACTTCTCCGCGTCACCACCACCGGCGGCGGCCGCTTCCACTGCCTTGAAGAGGACATTCGGGTCGCAGCGAACCGACTGGAAGCGCACCGGCAGGTAGAGGCCGCGGGTGGACTTGCCGAGGATGCCAATCTGCAGCATGGTGTCGGCGAGGACGACCCAGTTGTGGAAGAGCAGCTTGCCCACCTTCGAGTCGGAGGTCGCCTCGGCGATGCCCTGGAAATGGCCGCTGTAGTCGTAGCCTCGCAGGCGCAGCTCCTTGTAGATGTCCTTCGGCTTCATGGTGATGGCGCTCTTCTCAGGGGCCACCGAGCCGTCGGTGAGGATGTGCTGCAGGGTGAGGGGGCTCTTCTCGGGGACGAAGATGCGTCCGGTGACCACCACAGTGCCGCCCTCGCTGATGGTGAACTCGCCGTTGATGTCCATCATGCGCACCTCGAACTTCACCACGGCGTCTCGCGGGAGGATGGTCGCCCGGTGGAGGGTGACGTTCTCAAACTCGACGGGGCAGTTCTCGCAAAACTGACCCTTCATCTTGGCGAGCATTTGCCAGGCGAGGTGGAGGTACCCGGTGGCGGGGAAGAGCACTCGGCCGTCGATGCAGTGGCCGGCAAAGAACTCCGACTCCTTCTCCGATAGATCGATCTTCACGGTGTAGTCGGAGACGCTGTTCGGGTTGAAGAACTCCGGGTAGAGGGTGACCAGCCAGTTCTGCGAGTGGTCCCAGCGGACGAGCGAGCTGAGCGGCTGAATGGAGCGAGAGACGGGGTAGCTGACCGCCGGGTAGAGCTTGCTGAGGTCGGGGTTGACGCCGAGGTTGTAGAGCTTGCCCAGGGCGGCGAAGAGCATGTTGAGGTTGCCCTCGTTGTTGTTGCGCTTCATCAGCGTCACGTAGGAGATGTCGGCGCCGAGGGTGCGCTTGACGATGGGCTGCAGCAGACAATGGGGCGCAATCTCCACGATGATGGCGTTCTTCGGCACGTGCTGGATGGCCTCGTGGAAGAGCACCTGCGAGGTGAGGTTGTTCACGTAGTACTGCGGGGCAGAGTAGCGGGCCACGTCCTCGCCCCAGCGAGCCTCCGGGAAGGAGGAGCTCACCCAGCGAGGAGAGCGCAGAGCCGGCGTCGGAATGACCGTCTTCAGCTTGGCGAGCAGCGTAGGGGCAATTGCCTCCATGTAGTAGCTGTGGAAAGCGACGCCGCAGCTCTTCACCTCGCGCGCAAAGACGTTCTCCGCCTTGAGCTGCTCGACGAACTTCTGCGTGACGTCGAAGGCGCCGCTGATGGTCACCGAGTCGACGGAGTTGTGGCAGGCGGCGACGACCCCTTCCGGCGCTCGCGCCTTCGCCTCCTCCCAGCTCAGGCCGACGGCGGCCATGAGACCCTTCGGCAGATGGGCCTCCTCGACGCACTTTCCTCGCCAGTAGGCGGCCAGCAGCATTTGCTCGTGGTTGAAGACGCCGTCGCCGTAGGCACAGCCGAGCTCGCCCACCGAGTGGCCGACGATGCCGTCCGGCTCGACGCCCAGTGAACGCAGCACATCGGTGAGGGCGATCTGGACGGAGGCGATGGCGACGAAGGGCGCCACCGTGGTCTCCAGCACCGCCTCGTCCTCGCTGGTCAGCAGGTTGATCAGGTCGACGCCGTAGGGACGGAGGATGGCCGCGGACTTCTCGATCGACGCGCGGAAGCTCTCCACCGTCATCAGGCCCTTCGCCATGGAGGTCCACTGGCTGCCCATGCCCGAGTAGACGAACCAGAGGGGGCGGCGCTCAGAGACGCGGGCCACCTCTCTTGGGAAAGAGGTCTCTCCGTCGGGGTGTTTGTCCGCCAGCATGTAGCCGCGGTAGTTGAGGCCGCTGTTCTCGTAGGTCTGCGACACGTCCTGCAGCAGGGCGAGGAACTCGCGGTTCACCTTCTCCGGGTTCTTCTCGATGAAGTCGAAGATGAAGTTGACCGCCTCCTCAGTGCGGCCGGCCACCGGAATGACCCGCGGCACACCGCCAGAGACGATGCTTTTGTCAGTCTCGGCCAGCTCCTTCACGAAGGGCTTCAGGAGGACGTGCACGTTGACGCCGCCAAAGCCGAAGGAGTTGACGGCGACGATGCCGTCCTTAAAAGGCGTGTTCTCCACCACTGGCTTCACCTGGCCGCTGATCAGCTCGGGGATCTTCGGACTGGGCGTCTTGTAGTGCAGATTAGCGGGGATGAGCTTATTCTGGAAGGCAAGGACAATCTTCGCCAGCGAGTTCAGGCCGCTGGCCGGTTCGGCGTGGCCGAGGTTGCTCTTGACACTGCCGATCAGCAGGGGCTCTTTTCGGCCGGCGCAGAAGACGCCGGCAATGGCGCGCGTCTCGACGGGGTCGCCCGCCGGCGTGCCGGTGCCGTGCGCCTCGACGTACTCCACGTCCAGTGGGTTGATGCCCGCCTCTGCGACCGTCTCCGCCATGAGGTTGCGCTGCGAGTCCGAGGAGGGGAAGGTGATGCCCTCCTCCTTGTTCCCGTCGGTGTTGGTCTTTGCGTGGATGACGGTGGCGTAGATGCGCTTCGCGTCGGCGCGCTTCTGCAGGAAGACCACCGAGCAGGTCTCCGAGCGGACGTAGCCGTTGCCGTCGGCGTCGAGGTGCTTGCAGGCGCCGTCCACGGCGAGCATGCTCAGCTTCTGGAACTGCAGCGAGGTGGCCGGGCGGAGGCAGACGTTGACGCCGCCGACGATCGCCTGGTCGCACTGGTTGGTGCGCATGCCGAGGATGGCCTGCTGCAGGGCGAGGAAGCTGGAGGAGCATGCGGTGTCGATGGAGTAGGAGGGGCCCTGCAGGTCGAAGGTGTAGGAGACGCGGTTGGCGAACATGGAGCGCGAGCAGCCGGTCAGGGCGTACCCGGACACCTTGCTGATGTCCATCACCAGGCCCTCCTCCACCTCGGAGACGCAGGCGCCGATGTAGACGCCGGTCTTGGTGCCGCGCAGCGTCTGTGGGTTGATGCCTGTGTGGTGGGGAAAAATTAGTTAGTAAACAGGGTAATCAACACTGCATCAAGCTCGCCAATGGCACTGACCTGCATCGACGATGGCTTCGTGCGTCAGCTCGAGCAGCAGTCGCGCCTGAGGGTCCATGTTGTTCGCCTGTTTGCCGTGCACGCCGAAGAACTGAGCATCAAAGAGGCTCAGATCCTTGATCTTGCCCGTTCTGGAGGGCAGTCCGTAGAGGCCCTGCGGCCATCTGCGCTCGTCGGCGGTGATCATGTCCACGTGCTCGTACAGGTTCGTCTTCAGCTCGTCGATGTTGTCCGCCTCGGGGAAACGGCCGGAGATGCCCGAGATGACGATCTCCTCGTCCATCTGCCACTGCATGTTCTTGTTCTCAGTGCTGCTGGGGCTGGCCGAAGAGGCCGCCGATGTGTTGCTGTTGCCGTTTGGTGCCATTGTTGTGCTGTTGTTCGGTCAGTCTGGAGCTGTCTTGAGGAAATGTGTCAGATCTGTGTGCGGTGAGCGGGAAAGGGAACGCAAAAAAGTTAGACAAGTTGTGAAAAACTGAGATTAAAAGAACGAAGCCATTAGCACTCGTGAAGTGCATGTGAGTGAGTGCGTTCACAGCAGAATGAGGCCGTTATTGGTGTGTGAGTGAGTGAGTGTGTGTGCCTAGTCTCCTTTACTTCTAAAAAGTGTACTCAAAGTGATCTAGCAGTGCCATTGCTCAATTGAAACTTGCACTTTGACAGACGACTATGCATGACCAGACATGGTAATGGCAGCAGCAGCAACTTAGGTGAAATATGCTATCGGCAAGAAAGCCAAGAAGCATATCAGTAATTCAAGCTGTGCACTTGTCAGTGATGTCAATGGACACAGGCTCACTAACTCAGACACTGAGCACCAATTGGCCATAGGCGTCATTTATGCCGTTATGTGACAAAATTAACCCAAGAAACAAAAGCGTGGCCAATTGTGTGCGCCTTTGAATTGTGACTGCCACTGTGAAGGATGAATGGGACTGTACTGCACTTAAACTGGGCGACCAATTGAGCAAGCAGCACTGCTCGAATCAGCTGAGCAGTGCCCAGGCAGTCTGCTCCAGTGATCACTTGGGTAAAAAGGTGAAATTGAGGAGACATCGACGCCAAAAAGCGGTTGCGACAGTCCTCTCTCAGTGCGACAATGACAAGCGGCATGATCGACTGGCGATGATGATGATGGTGGTGGCGGTGGTGGTGGTGACGGTGATCTTTGAGGTGAGACGTGTTTCCCACTCCTGTTCCCGAGCACTGCTGCTGTTGCTGTCCCTCGTCAATTATCCGCAGAGCTATTTCGAAGTTTCATAATTGCCCGATGCCTTCTCCTTCTGCTTGACAGCCACTGCTGCTGAGCAATTGAAGCGATGGCGCGTGGCGGGCCATTTGCGCAGTCGAGTAGTGATAATCACTGCCCAATTTCTACTGCTGAAGCTACTACAACTGTCAGCTACTGTCAGTGATCACTTCATATGTCACCTCTTCTCCTGTTGTCCTTTCTGGTGCAACAACTGGTGCCACCGGTGACTAACTGTTAGTGATTGCGCTATGTTTGCACTGTTTTATATTGTTTTATTGGCTAAACAGGTATGTATTTGTGCATTGGGCTACTGTGCTGCTGACTGCCTCAGTAGTGCTAAAAGAATGCAAAATTCTACACTAGATTTGAGAATAACTAAAAAAGAAAACTAAAGGAGATTTTGATAGCTAAATTAAACAATTGAAAGTAGCTATCCTGATTCACGTTTGCAGCTAATTAATCATCACAAAACAACTCAGCTCTAAAGGTATTAAATCAAAGTGACTTACAGTGGATGGTGAGACAGTTGAGACAGAGAAGAGGCAACCACAGTTCAAGTTGATTATGGAAGAAAGTGATATCAACTAGTGGCACAACGATAAAGTTGGTAGTGAAAGGTAGAAACTTAGATTCGACGATGAGCACTGGTTGTCGTCGAGACGTCGAATAAGGCGCCGCTGTCAGTTGGTGAGCTGAATATATACCAATCAGGTGGATAACGTTCAAGAGAAGAGAAAAAGGAGGAGGAGGAGGAGGAGGAAAAGAAAGCACTGGAGCACAACTTTAGCAGTAAGGGGGAAAGGGGTGGGGGAAGGCAAAGAAGTGAGAGCTAAGGATGGCGAGGATAATATGCAAATAACTGGCGAGTGTGTGTTCTGTGCGCGTTCTATCAGCAGTCTGAAAATATCGCAGAAGCGGTGTGTGAAGTCAATTGGGTGACATCGAACACTGATGATGAAGCCTGCGACCAACTGGTACCGCTCTCTGCGCTATATATAGGCAGTCGTGTAGCTAAAGTGAGAGAATGAGAGAGACCATCGTCATCAGCATGGTAGCTTGGTTGAAGAGAGGGAAGGATGCAGATTGACCAGCATCACCAGCAGCAGACAGGAGGAGTGTCAGAGTGTGCTACAGCGAAGGGGCTACAAAAGTGCGTGCGCGCGCCACTGCCTGAGGAGCACAGCAGAGGAAGAAACACGTGAATCGCCGCCAACGATAAGGAGTCAGTCGGTAAGGTGATGGTGGCCGATCGAAGAGACACTCGCTCTCCGCCTGCAACAGCCAATGCTTCTACCAGTGCCTGTAGAGCCTGCCGACAAACCTGTCTGTCTGTCTGTCTGTCGACTGGTTGGCCTACCACCTCACTGCTGCACTCCCCCTGTGTTTGTGGTTGAGGACGTCTAGCAACCAACCAGCCAGCCAAAGTGATGTTCCACTAGGAACTAGAAGCATGTGCTGTCGATAACCACTCGTCTGAGTTTCCTTCAGTCAGTTGAGAAGATGCTGGTGTGTGTGTGTGGTGATGATGATGTCACACTCACACACACAAAGTCAGTCAGATGAGATGCTCTTGGTGGAAAAATAACAATTAAGCTGATACTCCTCTGTTTCTGTTCAGGGTTGCAGGGCAGATATTGCGGTCTTTATGGCGGTTAATTAAATCACAACTGTGTTGGCAATCAATAGTACGCCAGAAATGAGGCGATCGCTTCGGTAGCAGCAGCAACAGCAGCAGGGGAAAGTGATGCGCTCTACCGATGAAAAGCTGGTGGAAAGTTGGTTGATGAGCGACCGAAAATAGCTGTTGCTAAAATTGTTTTTGATATCTAACAACAGACGACAACCTCTTCTCTTCTTCTTCTTCCCCTCCTCTGACCACTCAACAAGCACGTGTGCTAATGAGATTTTCCGCAGCATCTAAAATGCACTTAGTCCGAGTGACCACATACTCCAATTCGTTCCTGTGCATAATTCAGCTGATTATTATCCCCTAGTTGATCAACTATGACTGCACGCGAGGCACGGACATGGACAGAGAGGATGGCAACTTTAATTTCCCCACAATCGATGCTTGTTTGTGTGTGTGTGTTCAGACAGAGAGAACAGGTAAGCCGATTGAGTCAGTGCATTGTCTATTTACTTCCATTTGAATTTTCTCGAAACTGATGAAGCAAAAAAGCAGAAGGGTAGAGCATTAGCATTTATCAGTCACCTGATGCACTTTCTCTCCCTCAATGTCTAGTGCTCTACAGGGTGGGCGTGAGATGCTGCTCAGCTAGGAAGCCAGATGCCACCAGCCGGAGCAGGATGCATTGCACAGATATACAGCCACAGACATTCTCGTTCGATTAGTCGGCTGGAGACAACTCTCTCAAAGCAGTGACTGGCTCTCTCTCTCTCCTTATTGCGGTATCTCTCCTGATCGTCCGACTCTGTCCAATGGGAAGGGCGCGAAATCGGCTCATTTTGGCAGACGGCTTCCAAGAGGCATGCAGAACGCGTGCCTGTGGGTGAGTGAGTGGCATCACCAGAGCTGCTAGACTGACTCTACTCAATGCTGACACGCTGGTACAGTCTGACACACACTCACACAGCCAAACGGAGACACAATATCACCAGACTCTAGGCAGCAGTACTAGTACTAGTACCATTGGTTATCAGAAAGTATCAGTGCATTGTGCAATCAGCCACTTCATATCACAATAAACATAACATGACACTGATTTCTGTTTCCCCACTCATTGTTGAAGTGCAAACATATGCACACTCACACCAGAGACTGAAAATCTGACACCCCCTTAATACCTGAAATAGTGGTCTTAAGAGTGGACACAACAAATGTCTGACTAGGTGAAAAAACAAGTCAAGGTTCACCCAAACTGTCTGGCCGAAGCATCTTTCAAGTTCAAGTCAACTGACAGCGTAGTCAGAGTGATCCGCTTATCAGGACATCAGATTTATTACAATACACTGACTTTATTGACTCGTGCTGGAATGCCATGTTGTTGTTCCTCTGTTGTTGTCTTTTCTTTCCACTTTTTGACATTAATAGTGCTTGCACTTAATGCCTTATTCAGTCAGAGCACTACATGTGGACAACAAAATTCTCATTGCAGGACTGGCATTAGACAAACTTCATAGTAGACCAGCTGCTGAAAATGATCGGCCTAGTTTACTCTGACTAAATGGAGGGGGGTTCATTAAATCGACTGGTTTTTCCAGCAAAACTGACTGTCAGTGACACTGATCCAGCCCACTTCCGGATCGTCGTACACACCGGAATGGCACAGATGAGCCCCTTTGGATTAGTCGTTGTTGGACCAGTACCACTACTGCTTCTAGTGCACCTGATTAGGCCAATTAGTTGTGCTGTTTGACCCCAGAGTTGGCATTTGCAGCTTGGACAGCCAAGTGTGACCGTTGCCTGCCAAAAAGTGAGCACAAGGACAGCTCCCACTGTCAACTGGAAAAAAGACACCGATCGGACTGTGAATGAATAATCAAGACGATAATAGCACCTCAGTTGAAAAGACTTTGCTTCTCACTGCAGGACAGTTATTACCGCGATGACAATCTCCACCCAGACAGCCAATGGCCCAATACTTAAAACAGTTCAGCGTCGCCAAAACAAGTGCTACAGCTAATAAAAAGCAACCCTTCTTTGATTGACTAACCTTGATCACTGATTAATTAACTTCTAGTCGTTTTAGTACTACCTTTCAATGAGATTGAAAGTTACCTAAAAGTGATCACTGGATAAAACAAGTGACTTTAAATCAAACTGATTTGCATAAACTACCAAAATGCAAAGACTTAAATAATCCTAAAATNCTTGATCACTGATTAATTAACTTCTAGTCGTTTTAGTACTACCTTTCAATGAGATTGAAAGTTACCTAAAAGTGATCACTGGATAAAACAAGTGACTTTAAATCAAACTGATTTGCATAAACTACCAAAATGCGAAGACTTAAATAATCCTAAAAAAACTAAACTCTATTCGAGTGTCCTCGAATTGCCTAGATGACGTCTGCAACGTGTGCAGTGTATTTTTAAATTAAATTTTAATAAGGAAAGTAGTAAAAGGCAATAAAGTGATGATGCAAATAGCTGTCTCGCATGGTTCAGCGGGTGAGCTTTAGCCGTGAAGTCGTGGCAGTCGGTGAAGTCGTTAGTGCAAGATAAACAACAACGTCGAATCAACAAAAAAAAATACAANAAAAAACTAAACTCTATTCGAGTGTCCTCGAATTGCCTAGATGACGTCTGCAACGTGTGCAGTGTATTTTTAAATTAAATTTTAATAAGGAAAGTAGTAAAAGGCAATAAAGTGATGATGCAAATAGCTGTCTCGCATGGTTCAGCGGGTGAGCTTTAGCCGTGAAGTCGTGGCAGTCGGTGAAGTCGTTAGTGCAAGATAAACAACAACGTCGAATCAACAAAAAAAAATACAACATGTCAAAACGAGTTCTGGTGGCGCGCGGTGCGTAGCAGTACAGTACTTCTGCAGTCTCGGCACAACGTAAGACATTTGGATCCGCCGTGGTACACATCCACTGATATGAATGCTCACTGGTCATGTATACATACCACTTTTGTATTCTTCAAAACAGCCGCTCCTTTCATGCTGCATGTACAGGCAGTCTCATGTCCGAGTTATCACCCCGTCTCTGACAGCAGTACGTACTAGTGCTAGTGATATCATTGTTTATAAACTCGCATGATGCTCTCTAATGTACTGTACTGTACATCTCAGCTGTCCCTCGTGTCCGGGCAAACTTTGGGTGAAAAGTTTCGGGAACTTCGATCGCACAGCTTCCTCTTTTCCTTCTCCTCTCCTTATTGACTTCCAAGAAGGTACCGCGCCTTAACAGCACCTAAACTCCAATTGACGTCTGCACAGGAGAGTACAGCTACTTGCGAGCTTGAGTTGCACTGCCAGGAGTAATTTTCGTAACGGTTAGCCGCCCCTGCCTCAAAACAGACTGAGTGAATGTTCCATAATGACGTCTGACTGCCGGTGCTGCTGCTGCTGCTGAAANCTGCACAGGAGAGTACAGCTACTTGCGAGCTTGAGTTGCACTGCCAGGAGTAATTTTCGTAACGGTTAGCCGCCCCTGCCTCAAAACAGACTGAGTGAATGTTCCATAATGACGTCTGACTGCCGGTGCTACTGCTGCTGAAGAAGGATGGCTGCTCTCTGACGAATGCACTGATCACATTAATTACGTAGGCATTTTGCTGCCGCCAGTGGTGGTCATCAGCTGTTGAATTAGCAGCAGAAGCATCGGCAGCAGTTGTTGATGGAGTTTGGTTCTGCCTGGGTTTTGTCGGTTCAGATTGAGCAATCACGTACTTGAACGCACCGATGACTTCCCTCTGATTGAGGACAATTAATTTCCCCACTCCGGCAGTGATGGGGTTTGGGAAAGGCGGCACATGAAATAGCTGCCTGATTGTCTCCTCCTCTGATTTGGTGTTGTTAATGGTCAGCGAGTGTTGTGAAATGATGTTGTTACGTGGATCGAGAAAAACAAATGTCAAGTTGTGGTGACCAAAGAAGAGTTCCCACTCGTGAAGGACTTCAATGTCGCTCGCTTGATCAAGAAAGCATTCAAAGTCGCGAAAAATCTCCTCTTTCACGTCAAACTGACTGCAAACCTAGCAAAACAAAACATTAAAATCGAGTTCAACACAGAATAAAAACGTACTTTGAGTGACTTCAGTTTAGGTTTTAAAATGGTGTGTAAATATAGCGCATCGTCCGGACTGGTTCTCATTATTGTTTCAAAGCTGCCAATTGGCTGACCAGCCTTATTAGATAGGCCATACTTGAGAAGAGTACCGTAAAAACGGTTATTCTTGAAGAAAACATTTGACTCTTCAAAGGTATACTGCAAGTCTCTGATTGAGATATCACGTTTTTCATTAGTAAAACGACAATTTTGGTCGATTAAGCTTTTCAGATGTTGGCCCTGACTTTTGTAAAAGTTCAGTCTTGACTGAGGCAATGTCGACGGTTTTTCATATTTTAAGTTAACCACATTTTCAAGGTAAACACTTTCTTCCAGCAATGGCAGTCCATTCAACAGGTAACTTTGCTCAACAAAATCGATGATATCCGAATCGACGACGTGCTCAAATTTACGCGCAAAGAAAAATGGCTTTGATTGAGTTGTCGGTAAACGAGAGACATCGGTGTGACGGAAGGCTATGGGCGAGCAGCCACACCAATCGACCACATACTTGTGCTGGCACTTGCAACCTTTCTTTCGATTCCAGTTGGTCACACGCAGGTTATTGTTCACTATGGTCGTGNCCATTCAACAGGTAACTTTGCTCAACAAAATCGATGATATCCGAATCGACGACGTGCTCAAATTTACGCGCAAAGAAAAATGGCTTTGATTGAGTTGTCGGTAAACGAGAGACATCGGTGTGACGGAAGGCTATGGGCGAGCAGCCACACCAATCGACCACATACTTGTGCTGGCACTTGCAACCTTTCTTTCGATTCCAGTTGGTCACACGCAGGTTATTGTTCACTATGGTCGTGCAGAACTCACTGTTTCTCAGAACAATGTGAAAGAATGCCTAAATAAAAAGAGTCTGTAAGCAAATGAAGAAACAATGATCGAGTTATACTCTTTACCTCAGCAGGAAGCAGTGAATATCGAAAGTAACTTTTCAGACTGCTCAAAAGCTCATCATCGGTGTTTGTGATGTAGTGCGAAAAGTTACGGCTGAGGACAAACCAATCACTGCCGCCATCCCAGACAATGCCTAGATAGTAAAAAGGAAAAAGTTAATGTTGTTGGAATGCTCAGATTCACTAGAAATCACCTTCAATCAGCTGACGATTGCCAATGCGAAACATGTGGTTTTCGCATTCAATAAAAATTTTATCAGCCGCTTGCATGTGCACAAAGTCGTAGGTGTTTTTGCCATGAGACTTGACAAAGTTCTTTTCTTTGTTGAGTGAAAGGTACCGTTCCAGATCAGAAATGGGTCTAAAAGTAATGATAATAAAAGGTAGTAAAACACAAGTGATTTTCAGCCTACACAGCTTACTTAATTGGAAAGTCTGTCTCACTGAGATTTAGGATGAAATCCCAGTTGTTCCAATTCTGAACATTAAAGGCATTTTGAATGCAGCTCAAAATGGTTGTCAAAAGACTAGAGCCTCCCCAAATTGAAGCAAATCGTTGTTGGGCAAGTTTTATGTTTGGATATTTGTCCTCCAAAGCGAGCAGCTCATTGTATAGGTAATTGTGGCGCTGAAAAACAATCATGATAAAATATTTGTAAACCAAAATTATTTTACTCTTACCAGGTCAACGTGAATATAGTAGTAGTGATATGTAGAGTATATGTTTCGCAATAATCGGTGGACTTGTAAAAGTGATCGTCCATTGACTAGAAGTAAAAAGACTATTCGCGGTTTCCAGGTCCCTGTTTCAGGGATGCTTTTTGGAAAGAAGAAAGGCACTTCTAATAAAACAAGTTATAATTGTTAACCGATCAGTTTAAAAACCTGCCCAACTCTTACTTTTGAGACCAGTTAAATAAACTATAAGTTGATTTGGACACTTGGTGGGAGAATTGGAACACTGAAGATCACATGGACTTGAAGTATTTTTTAGCAACTGAAGGTTATTGATGCAAAAACAGGTAGCTGATTGGAATGCTGCATACTCATAATCATATTGAAGGCACTGAGAAACGCAGGCATTCAGACTTGTTTCATTGAATGTTTTGCTCTTTTTGTTAGAGATCAAACTGATAGTGCTTTCGTTGACTTCATGGCAACTGTGAAGTTGTCCTTTATTTTTTGAATCTTAACAAAAGTTATCATTAGAAAACGGTTTTAGGTTGCAGGTATGTGATAAAACTTACCATAATGACTGCATTTACTGGTAAGGCGGTCTGGCCAGGGCTTTCTTTGACAGAAAACGTCGATGCACTTCTGTTGACAGTGCTCCGTTTTCATTCGGCTAAGCGCTGAGATGGCTTGCGGATCGTTGATCTTGCAGGTAATATTCACATTTTTGTTTAATTTGGGAAACCGTGGTATTGAGGGCCTGTAAACCTGTGCATAACCGGCCTTTTCTGGCTTACGCAAAGCAAACTGCAATCCCGCGTTTTCAAATGTAATTAAGTTGAAGTAAACCGTTATGAAAAACACATTGGCAAAGAGAATAAAAATACACAAAAGTATAAAACAGCGAAATGTCAAGCGTAAAGCCATCTCGAAGCGACCACCTTTCAAGTGGACACATCATTACGATTTGGATCTCTAAGACTTGAAACGGAATCCTCGTCGACGCAAACAGCTGATCTCTTGACGGTTGCATGTCTTCTACGTACGGGCCGTCGATGTAAACAAAAAGTTCTGTTGCTTCAAAATTATCTTGAAAATTCTCACGTGCTTCAAGACTTGAAGTTCAAGTACTTTTATTTAATAAACTACATTTGAAATGGACGAAGATGATGGAAAAACGTACCGATGGGAGACTGAATATGAAAAGACTTGGTAAGTTGTGACCTTTACCCCTGTTGTCATACCGTTTAACTGTTGTTTCGCCATTCTACAGGGAGGCAATCAAAGAAGATGATTCCGGTCGAATTCAAAGTTCGGTGGATGAGATTATGTACAAGTCTATTCGGAAGCGAATACTCAACCAGAAGAATGTCAGACTTGGAATGGTAAGAGAAATTAAAATTGAGCCAATCCTCTGAACTAATTTCACCATTTTTTTGTAGATGCGGCATTTGGTCATTGTCATTGACATGTCTGATGCAATGACGAATATCGATATGAAGCCGAACCGGTTTATTTGTTGCACTCGAATGATTGAAAAGTTTGTCACCGAGTTCATTGATCAGAATCCGATCAGCCAGCTGTGCTTCATCGTGACACGAAATAAGCGCGCCGAGAAAATCACCGATTTGAATGGCAATTTAAAGTCGCAAATTGAAGTTCTCAAAACATTTGCCAGTACTGGGTGTCACGGCGAGGCATCAGTTCAAAATGCTCTTGAATTGGCTTATTCAGTGTTGCGGTATGAACATTTTTATCGAAAAGCTGTAGAATTTTACCATCATTTTATTTCTCCTAACACAGTCATATGCCCTCTCATACGAGTAAAGAAGTACTGTTCATCATGGGCAGTTTAACCAGCTGTGATCCTTCTGATATTCACAAAACAATCGACACACTGGTCAAAAGCAACATCAGGTGCTCAGTGATTGGACTTTCTGCTGAGGTTTACGTTTGCAAAGCTCTCGCTTCAAAAACCAATGGAATCTACAACATTGCTCTTGATGAAACTCATCTCAAGGATTTAATATTCAGCCACCTAAATCCACTTCCATCATCGGTCACCGAGTCCACCCTAATGAAAATGGGCTTTCCACAGTATATCCACGAGCCTCATGACAAGCCATTCATGTGCGCCTGCCACCTTGAAGATGAGCCCAACTTTGGCATTTCAGGATACTTTTGCCCTCAGTGCAACTCAAAGTATTGCGACCTGCCAGTGGAGTGCAAGGTGTGTAGCCTAACATTGGTGTCAGCTTCCCATTTGGCCCGAAGCTATCATCATCTTTTTCCAGTGGATCCTTTTGCGGAGAAATCGCTCACTTCTGTGGACCTGTGCACTGGCTGTCTGAAGGAGCTACCGGCTGGCAAGTCGGTGACATTCTGCACCTCTTGTAAAAATTACTTTTGCATCGATTGTGACGTTTTTATTCATGAAGTGTCTCATGTCTGTCCTGGTTGTGCCTCAATTCCCAGCAAGTATTCAACATAACTCAATGAGTTTTCATATTAAAGTGGTAATTGGAGTCCACAAATGGGCGCTATAAATAATTGCCTTCAATCGGTTGAAGTAAGCGAGATGATGTGGAGCAAATCAGTTTGCAGCCACTTCTTCAAAAAATCCCATTCTGATAGCCAATTATGGGCTAATGCAAGTGAACGAGTATTTCGATTAGTAAGGATCATGTTACGATGCATGCAGTAAAGCGATTTGGGTAAGTTCGAGTGAAAATTTTTCGCTGATCTCTCAGGAGAGACTGTTATCGATGTAAACATCCTATTTGACATTTCATTTGCTTCACCTAATTCAGGCATTTCACTTGCCTTGCCAAACCAGTTGACAGTTTGCAAACAGGCTTTTTCCCATTCTCCACTCGCACTGATTTGTGTGTTTCCACTGCGGTTTGTCATATGTTTTTTGCTGCAATCGAACACCTTCTGCTATTACATTGGATTGATCAATGAACACATTTACTGTGCCGTTATAGTCAAGAGGTGTCTGTTTACTGAGCCATGATAGGGTCATTTATTTTCAGTGACTCGGTAATATAAAGCATTTATAGGCCGTACTTTATTTTCCTAATGGAGACGTTGAATTTAAATTGAGATTTACATGCGTCACGAGTTATGACTGTTGATTGCACCGGATGATGCGGGATCACTTCAAAAGAGGGGGATGCCTAATTTAACATAGGACTAAACCAAAAACAGCCGTTTTTGTTCAGTGAAGCGGTAAAGGGTGCCATTTCACTACATGATTACCCTTAATAACGCTTGCTCTTGTGCACACACAAAGCCGATTTGTGTGTGTGCACTCAGTTCGACTGAACTCTTTAATTTGGTTAGTAAAGGCCAAATGATTATGTTTTAGACGCACTCGTTACGCTTTCGGATGTTTATTAAATTACCGTTAATAGCAACTGCGAATTGAGAATAAAGAAATCGGCGTGTGTGTGTGTGTTTGCGCGTCGGCGGCGGCTGCAGTACACACAGGTGAGACCAGTGCGTCTGTTTGCTGTCGGTTCTGGTTGCGAAGGTGCCAAGTGGTGATGACGCCACTGTGTTTGTTGCCAGCCGCCCTAGGCCATGTCGCCCATTGCCTCTTGACGAGGTGTGCCTTAGCGTTCGAACTAGATGCGTCCAGTCGTTTCGATACTGCGGATGAACTTGTGGGGGACAGTTGAAGAAGCCAGTGAAGCGGCAGAGTAGAAGAAGCCATAGAAGCAGTGTTTTTGTGTTCTGGGAAGTGCTCAGTTTTAGGTTCTGTTGTGTGTTGTGATTATGGTAGGCTCACTTGACTTGATCTGGTGCTAACCTAAGGACAAATTTGTGTGTATGCGTGATTGAGTGCTTGTGTGTTGCGTAGGCGATGCACTGGGATTACTGATTTTTGGCGCTTGGACTGATGTATTTGTCATTTTGAGCTTTTGAACATTAGAGCCATTTACGAATCATGAAATGATTGAGTGAGAAATGAAGTAATGAAATTCTGATTCACTAATGGGATTCATAAAGTAAGTGTGTGCTCAGCATTGCCGGGTGAAAAATTCTAGTAAGTAAAGCCATTTTGTCAATATGCTTTGAATAGCTTAAGTGGCTCTATTTTCATTCTTTAGATTGGCTAAAAAGCCCTCATTTGCGGCTACGTCATAATTAGCACTGACTGCAAAGTGATCAATTAGAACTACTAAAAGTTTCCGACATTCAATTAACGCTACTGCAGCCTGAGATAAAAAGCGTAAAGGGGAAAGAGTTTAAGTGTATTGCAGTGTTAGCCTCAGTTTATGTAAATGAAGTGTGGTGGTTTAGCAATAAACAGGAATAAAGCAAACTGAATTTGCGTTTTGTAACGAAAATGTTTTAGTTCATGCGGGCGCACATTTTGTGAAGTTATTGTTCTCTATGAGATAAAGTGGTCAGTGCGGTAATGTCTAATTAAGATGCTCTGTTGTGCTCAACAATGAAAGGCTTCAACAAGCTGACACAGCGGTATTTGAGCAAAAACAGAAAATAAACAAACAAGAAGAAAAATGAGTAAAGAAAGCGGGGAGCAACAATTAAATTACCAAACTACCGCCGGTTGCAATGGAGCAGCAAAGCATGAGAGAATGTAAGGAAGAAAAGGAGATATGTCGGCAGATGACAAAAAGAAAGTGTGCGTGTTTGTGTGATTTCATTGCCTATCTGGCCATAGCTCATTTCTGAACTTCTGGCTTTGGTTTGCATGCACCTTGAGCAACAGCAATTTGATTCAGCTGTATTTTTGTTTGGTTTTCAAAAATTAAAGAGCACTTTTTTAGCTGGGGATAGATTCTGAACAACAAGTTAATGTTTGTTTCCAGTTGAACGATGTACGATTTGGCCAGAGTCAGCGTTTCCAGCTTGGTGATCGGACGGGATCCATTTTTTATTACGGGCAGTGCATTACGAAGAAATTCGTAGGCTTGAATGAGTTCTTTTTTAGTTGAAAAAGGGTAGATTAAAGTTAAAAAAAGTGATGCTGTTATATGATTTTCTGTTTGTATTTTTCTAAACTTACTCCCGTTACGCTCTTTCTCAAGCAAGTTTGCCAGCTGTCTTTTGGTAAGTTTTTTTCGTTGCTCCTCTGAGAGCTGTAGGGTAGAGAGGGAAGAAAAGAAAGAGAAGACTCAGTGATATGAGCTAATCAATTTTTCTTAGTGAACATGGTAACATTTCGGTTTTGTTTTGTGATATTACCTGAACCGGGCTACGATCACCAGAGACGGGGACCACATCCGAAGAGGAGGATGGCTCCTCTACGCGATTGACCTCTTGATAGTAAGAGCGCTGCAGCGCCTCAACAACAGAGGCCGCAACTTCAGTTTTCACTTCTGAAGCCGTTTTCTTCTGCACAGCGGCCTTCTTTGCCGGCGCCGCGGTAGTGTAGTCGCCTCGCAAGTTGTCGGTGTTGTCAAAGTTTCGAGGACGCTTCACCACTCGAGTGGCCGTGCGGAGTTCGCGTTCCTCAACCACTTCAGCAGTCTTTTCACGCGAAACGCCGCAGCGGCTTTTGCGACCCTTTCCAGCGGTAGCCTTTGCACGTACCATTTTCCTTCACTGTTTGGTAACTAATAATAATGAGTTAGAAAACAATCACTGAGTTTTCACTGGAAAAAAAGTGCCGATGATGAAGACAAAGAAGAGGAAGCACTTTGCGCAATCAGTTACAACAGTGGTAGCAGCGGTCGCAGTTGTCCTGGATGTGTGCATATGAAGTGGCAAAAAGGGCAAGTGTGCATAATTACATTTTCGATTAAAGCAATTCAATTTAATGTTGGCACTGGCACTGACGCACTAATTAAATTACCAAACCTAAGCCTCGAGTGGCCGTTGTAGTGTGCTAGAGGGGACCGTCAACAACGCACACTTATTTTCCAGGGCCGCATTAGGCGATCGCCACTCTCAAACTTGAACTCTCACTTTGCTCACAACAACTCCACAGTGATTTCAACTTTTTCTCGCCCACATCAAAGATGCCGTTTGATGCAGCACTTGGAACTATTACTACCACCACTGCCACTACTAACTACTTGTGAGCTTCTAAAGAACTGTCGGCCAGTTGTGTTGTCAGGAATCGGCCAACGTGTTTGTGTGTTTTTCAGGCCAAGTTTTCTCTTTTCATTTCGGCTTGCTCATCACTACTTTTTTGTTTTTTAGCAAATGTCTAGGCTGAAGGCTGCTGCTACTGCAGCGGCTGCAACTGTTTTGGTCGCGGCTGTTGCTGAGAGCATCGTCTCAAGAAGCTCGTGAGCGTGGGCAAATTAAATTGAAAAGGGCACATACTTAATGAAATCAACTAATTGAACGTGTTTGTTTTGCAAATTGTAGTGCACTCTGGTGAACTTGCAGTAGTTGAAATGCTCAGTCTTCACTGCATATTGTCATTATTTTTGAGAGATAAAGATACGCCACTAATGACTTAACTGTAAGCATCAGTTTGACTTTTTCCCCTTTGATGCGGCGGACATTTTTAATCAAATTAAATTTTTCATGAAACGAAACAAACTCAAA